ACACTTAAGCCGTTTGCCATTGCACCACCTACCAAAGCTACTATCCTCCCAATTCTTCTCCCGCCAGCAACTTTGAGACCGTTAGCATTTCGAACCTTTACGAAAAAGCATAGCTTAACCCTCACATCCTCCGCGCTACAAGAATTAGCTACCTTCATTGGTCGGCATTGCGGTTCGGGATGGCGCGAAGAAGGGTTGGCGGAGAAGGTGTTGGAGGAGACGGCAAAGAGCTGGAAAAATCGAAATGGAGGTGTAATAGTCGATGGTGCTAGTAATGAGCTAAAAGATATCCTGAAAACACTGGAGGGGAACATGAGCGGTGGCAGGATAGTGACGGGACGAGAATTAAATCGCCAAAATAGCTTGGTTTTGGACTCCAGCCAGGAGGCCGATTTAACAAATACAAGGTTAGGGCTGAGGCCAAACAAGTCCCTAACACGCAATGACAGCGCAACAAGTTTTGGCATGTCAGGGCTCGGTGTTGAGGAAGATGAGCCCGACGACGAGAGCCTAAAGCATCCGAGGAAATGGTTGAAAGTCGTCAGTGCGTACGATCAACCACGGTTATTATACAACGTAACGAAGAAACACTTTGAAAGGTACGAATATCTCTACAGTATCACACATTGAGTATCAAGGCTTATAATAATTGTAGGGACCCTTCGAAACCATCTTTAATGCCTCCAGCAGCCCACAAAACGACTCTCTTCCGGAATAGATATAATGTTATACATCAGAGACTTCTCAGAAACGAATCGTTCCAGAGCTCGACAGTAGCAACTACAAAGGCCGCTCCATCCTTGAAACGATCCGCCTCTTCTAATCTAACCACTCAGCAAACCTATAAAATCACACCAATTGCGAATATGCTCGGCCGCCATGGTAGCCATCATATGCTTCTTGGGCTATTATCAGTCTTGCCAACTGGAAGTCTCGCAATCAACGACTTAACGGGAACCATTTCCTTAGACCTTTCACAAGCCGTAGCTATACCGGAAGATTCAGCTTGGTTTACGCCGGGGATGATAGTGTTGATAGACGGCGTGTATGAGGAAGAGGAAGAATCGACTGGGAGGGGACTCGGTGGTAATAATGGTGTAGGTGGTATCATCGGCGGCCGCTTTCAGGGGTTCTTCATCGGACAACCCCCTTGCGAAAAGCGCAAAGCTACTCTCGGCGTTAGCGGGATAGACGACCACACTATAGGAGGTGGATTCGGCTGGATCGACTTCCTAGGCGTCGGAAGCGAGCGCGCCGCGGGTTCCAAGATGCGGAAACTCGAGCAGCGCATTCTCAGGAGGCCACGTCTGACCCAATTGTCTACAGCAGACCCCGATGCCGACGCTCCCAGCTGCGGCCGCATCATCGTCATAGGCGAGCTCAATCTCGACCAACCACGAGCCCTCCAAGCTCTACGCAAGATCCTAACCATCTACTCGACAGAGCCCGAAGGCAGCACGCCAATGACATTTGTGCTAACAGGCAACTTCACACAACATGCCGTGATGGCCGGCGGCGGGGCCAGCGGTGGCAGCGTAGAATACAAAGAGCACTTCGACGCTTTAGCGTCCGTCTTATCCGACTTCCCAGCCCTCCTTCAATCCTCCACATTCATCTTCGTCCCCGGCGACAACGACGGCTGGGCCTCATCCTTCGGCGCCGGCGCCGCCGTCCCATTACCCCGCAAACCCGTACCCGATATGTTCACGAGCCGTGTACGCCGCGCATTCGCCACCGCGAACGCAGAATTACCCGACAATGGCAAAAGATGCCCCGGAGAGGCTATCTGGACCAGTAATCCCTCCCGTCTATCCGTCTTCGGACCCGCCCACGAGATCGTCCTGTTCCGCGACGACATATCAGCGCGGATGCGCCGCACCGCCGTGCGCTTACGTTCTTCGACTACGGACGCGGAGGGGAATCGGCATGAAAAACCTACCGGCAACAACGACGATGACGAGGATGACATAGACATGGAAGCCGCGCTCGACAACACTGACGCAATGGACGTCGACACCACCAAGGGCACCGAACCCCCGGTCCCGCACGACGTGCAGACGGCGCGCAAGTTGGTGAAAACGATGCTGGATCAGGGGTATTTATGTCCGTTCCGCCATGCAATTCGCCCTGTACATTGGGACCACGCGGGCGCGTTGTACTTGTACCCCCTACCGACGGCGATGGTGCTTGCGGATCCGACGGCGCCGCCGTTTTGCGTTACGTATGAGGGATGTCACGTTATGAACCCCGGGGCGGTGTTGGTTGCTGGACGTAGGGGCGTAGGGCGCTGGGTCGAGTATGAGCTAGGAGGGACGGGGCGGTTGAGGGAGTGTATGTTTTAATGGATGGATACAGGTACATAATGAAATACTGAACATATGCAAATACCACGTATTCTGCCGCCTGCATGGTATATGGCGCATATAAATTAGACACGACTATAGTTAATGACAGGGGGCATAGCATAGCATCGCCAATGAAACAAATAGATCACGACGATTTTCCAATACAATTACTTTCTTAATATTATATTAGGGGGGCTATTGTAGCCGCGTTGCTTAGGTTTCTTTCCGACTTTATTCGTTTGTAGCATGCTCCCATCACCATCATTCATGCTTCTCTTGCGAGCTGGCTCGCAGCCGATTTTTAAAAAGTTATAAGGGGGCAATCTCAAGTATGTACAGATAGAAAAACTGCTAGCGGGTATAAGCTCTACGCCCATACGTCGTCTAGGGATAGAATCTAATAAGTTGAATGATGTATGTTCGCCGAACGTCGATTTTCGAAAGGTTAAATGACGTACTAAAGGCTAGTTAGTAATGTACGATATAAAAATCTGGAGGCTTTTTTTTTGTAAGGGTTTGAAGTACTTACCGGAATGAACAGGTATGGCACCTGTCTCTCATATTCCTTCCACGCATCACCGTACTTCGTCCTGCAGCGCCCAATATCCCTGTGGGCACGATGCACGATCATGCAGCAGAAAAAGAACGGGTAGAACCAAGGAAAGGGGCTGTTGAATCCCGTGATCAGGCCCCAGCTGATGGCGAAGAACGCATCACAGGTGTAATGCAGCTTGCGCGCATATCCGTACCATCCGTCAACAAGCAGCTTGTCACCAGTCTGCGTGTCGATGGTCTTGGGGTTGTCGATGTAGATCCACGGTAACGGGGGGAAAGCGTAGCGCTTCTCGAGGTTGCCACGCTCGAGGGCCCGGAATGCGTTCTTCTGCCCATTGGCTTGGTCCCAGATGACGTACACGGAAATATAGAGGACGAAGAACGCGGCTAAGGCGTATTTGTTCCAGGCGTATTCCGACGGGTGGTGGCTAGCCAGGTAAAGGGTGCAGTGGCAGTATGAGAGAGGGACACCAGCCATGTTCCAGAAGATCAGCATGAAACCCCACTTCTCGTAGTACATATCCCAGGTAGTGATGATGAGTTGTTCGCCCTTGGAGCAAGCGTTGGCGTAGAGATAGTGAGCCATAAGCAGGAAGCATACTTCGCCCGAAACGTAGCCGTAGTTCTCGTATTGTCGAGCCGCAGCCGCGCAAGATAGTCCAAACAGGATATACCAGGGAATGCGCACTTCGTAGAACATCTTGAAGTCGAGGATCCCGAACATACGCGGGTTCAGCTCGGCTCCCATGAAGAAGTCGTAGATGGGGTAGCCAGTCATTCGGTGGTGGGCACCTCGAATCAACGCCGAGAAGTATGCGACAATAGCGACCAGGAAACCAGACAGGATAGCGACGGACAGGAGAGGACCGAACTCATCCAGAAGGGTGTTGATCTTAAACCAACCGGTAAAGTGCAGCACGCCTATCACAACGATGGTGAAGTAGAAACTAGCATACGCCGAACAGTAATACCGAAGCTGCTTACCCCCCTCAAAGGGAAGAGGCTTTCCATAACCCCAGACGCCAGGTAGAAGACAGTAGCAAGCGGCCTCGAAGATGATGTAGGTCCAGTAGATTCTCCATGCGCGCAGGTGAGGGAAAGCGCCGGTGTAGACGTGATTCCACATACGCCAGCCGAAGTCAGCAATAGACTCCCCTTCGAACGGCAGCGGGGGTTTGCCATCGTAGTAGGCTGCGCCAACCCACATATACCACATGAGTGTCGGAAATACGATCATAAGGGCTAGAGTACCGAGGCTACCTCCGAACTCGAAGACGCCGGAATGATCGACCTTGGGATCCATGCCCGGCTTCCAACCATCGACGACTTTCTCCTTAGGGTGCCCGTTGGCATGCCCATTCGTATGCCCATTCGTATGCCCATTCGTATATCCATTGGTATGACCATTCTCTACCGGTTCCAATTTGATATCGGCCTTGCCGTTGCCGTTGCCGTTCATGACAGTAGAGAGTTTCTCCTTAGCGACAGGACTGAACTCCTCTTTTGACGCGGTATCCGAATCGTCTATGTGCTCGATAAACTTGCCAACTCCCCGACGCCGTACAGATGTAGACCTAGTAGATCTAGTTGTTTCGGCAGCAGAGCTAGAGTCGCCGTCGTCGGACGCGCCGTCCGCAATAGGGGGGAACTGAGACTTACGTCGCGTCGTGCGGCGACTAGGAGTCTCGACCATACCGTCGAAGAGTTCCTTTTTTCTACACAAAAACTCAAAATATTAGTAAAAATCTCTCACGGTCACAATTCTATGACGCGCTCAAAACGTCACCGCTGCCGCCGTCATTCACTCCATCGCATCTGAAGCCTCCTTTTATCTCCACATCTCGTCGTACCACCGCGATAGAGATAAGTACATACCTAGGAGTTGCACGTAAAGAATATCTTGAAGACATTTTGAATAAATCAAATATGTGCGAATGAATGGACAACGGGCGACTTATAAAGAAGCTCGTCAGTGAGGATTAGAAATTAAAAAGTCAGGGAGCAAATTGAGAGTTCCATCCAGAGGTCGTTCTCGGGGTTAAACTTGGAGTGTGTAGGTACTTTTTTTGTTTTTAATTCCTGGTCTGGGTCATTTTTTAGCCCGTTTTTTCCGGTAGTCAGGGGCAGCGTTGAGCTGGCCAAAAAAAGGGTTGACCAATCATGGCTTTTGCGCAATGGCCCACATTGCCCCCCATTGGTACTTGCACAACAACCTTGAACCTTCTATGCCTTCTATGTATGCATCTGGGAATCGGGGTATCTTAATATTTTGTACGGAATACCTGCATAATTGAATTCCAAATGCCCCGTCTTAAAAACCTCCAACCCAAACTTACATCAAACGCTAACCATCTATATGATTGATTGATTCCCTAGCCTCAATTATATTCTCCAATCAACGCGCCAAAACACAATCAATTAAAACCCTCTAATAATCTGACCAACCCAACCTTTTTCAAACTTATTAGCCTATAGGTGACTGTGGCCTTGGTCGTCGTGGTCGCTTTCTTGACCTTGGCCCTCCAAAAGGTGCCATCGGGATATATGGGCCACGACTCTCCTTGCCCCAAGTGTCATGGCTATCATGGCTAGCTTCCGAGGCTTCCAGCTCAGTGGCTGATGAGCTTTTAGATGCTATTGATGGGTCCATTCGCTCTGACCGCTCGTCCAGATAACTGCATGAAGGTATTTTGGATAGCTCACTAGGCTTTGTCTTGGGTAACTCGGACTCTTCGGGTCCCGAGTCTTGTTCGCTTACTCTCGGTGGCTCCTCTTCGATGTGAAATTGACTGGCCGCTTGTGGAACCTTGTTGGGAGCCTCATTTTCAATAGCGGCATCTAAGCTCGTATTCGGGTCAGCTACCTCTGCTGGCCATTCACCAATCTCCGAAAACACGCCCTGGCCTCGATCTTTCACTCTATCACCGACTGTTATTTCAGAAACTTGTTCACTAGGCACTATTATTGGCGACTGTTCTTCTCGTGCTCTTGATGGGCTTCGTTCCTCTTGAGTATAGTCAGTATCAACGCATCTCGGAGCTCTATTAGGACAAAAAGCACAATTATCACACATACCAACCATTTCATCCGAGGACCGCCTAGGTATTATATACCGTCTAAAAACGCCATTTTCATAAGCATCTACCCGAGTCCCCGTCTTTGTGGACTTTGGCGAAGCTGTAGCCTCTTGAGTTTTCCGAATTATTAGACCCGGGGGTCCTCGGCGCGAAGGCCTTGTACTTGTTGAAAGAGCTTCTCCCTGAGTATATGATCGAATTGCATGGACAACATATCGTTCCAATTGGCGGCTATCATCTGCGGTCACATCATGTGAATCTTCCGGGGCCATTTCTGACACACCTAACGGTGATTTGCGCTTCTTGTATTCGGCCAGTTCACGTCTCAACTTCCTCGCCGTCGCCACCCAGTTCCAAAGCCGTTCCTGGAGCATCTCACTAATACCATCAGCAACGACATATTAGTCTGCCTGATTATGCGACCTACAGCTTTTCTCTATCCGCGCTCTTTTTGCTATCTGCGTTCTGACTCATCGATTCTTCAAACATGAATAAAGTGCATAGCAATGTGACGTTAGCTATTGCGCTTTGAATATTTAAGCGTAATTCTGGCACGTCTGGCCGTTTCCAAAGCCACAGCAATCGTGCCCAGAATGTATTTAAAGGCGCCGTGTCGACACCATTAACATCAATAAAGCGCCGGACGAGGCGAGCGAACCCTCTCTTGACAGATTTACACTGCCTCAGGATTTTCTGGACCAATTCGGCTCGCTTAGCCTTAGAATGTTCATTCATGACGGCTGCGGACTTATTCGCGAGCTCATAAAAATAACAGAGTTGGTCAGTAAATATGGAGGTCTCAAGTATAAAATATCTGATTTCCTTTGGCGCAGAGCGTATAGTACGCTCACAAACTCTCAGGTCTCTTGTCAATTTCACCACGGAACCAGCCAATTGCATGATAGCTGCAAGGCCGCCAATCAGCGTAAGTGCTTCCGCCATAGCGCGAGTAATTATGAGATACGAAGTTTCGAAACGATTGTTCCTACTATGTAATTGTTAAAGGAAAAACTAAACTTATGAATACACTCAACATTATCAACCTTGCTTCCAGATTTTTCTACGATCAAGCACATCAAAAGCTGGAAAAAAGCATAGCCTTCATCGGCAGAGCATCTAAGAGGGGCTTGGGAAAGAACATGGAGTGGGAGTTCCATCGCTAATTCGACGGGTGATGGCGTGAGCACCCCCGCATGTCCCCGGGCTGACTATATCCGGAGGTAAATGGCTTACAGTTGTGAGGCTCTCTCGCTCTGCCATGCCACTGGTATGCATGTACTCCGCCATTTCCGGTATTTCCTGACGACTATTTGCCCTCTAGGTTCTTGATACTCTAAGCTAGAGGAGGCTCAATATTGTAGCCTGATAGTAGATAGGGACAGTGGGAAT